GATTCAAGGACAGAACTGAAGTTCAAATAGAAAAAGGATGCTGCCTCAAGGATCAGGAGCTGAGCTGGCTATCAGAGCCCCTAGTACATGGTGATCAAATAAGCGGCAGTTAGAGATAAAGACTGGATTAAGCAAGAGAAATCAGGACCTAGAAAGATTCTAGGTGTTCACAATAATTAAATGAAAACAAGACAGACCATGCGGCTTTAAATTTCCTAGCATAGTAGTTCCAGGATTCTCAGTACAGAAATAATCTCTGGAAATTAAGGCAAGAAGATAATGCCACTCTTAAGCTCCTGTGCTATGTAGAATGTTTCCCAGAGAAATAGTATCTGAGAAATCAGATACAGTGTTATCTGGCCAGGGGTTACATCAACTTCTTCAGTTCCCTTAAAACAACTTAATCACATACAGTTTGTCTTAAAAGGAAGCCTCCAATCAGCTAAAACAAACTTTCAACAGAGATTCAGTTTAACAAACAGACCCTATACTGTGGCTTTAGAAACTAGGCCACTGACTACCTAAAAACCCCAGCTTGCCCACTTGAAGTTAACCTCTAGAAACATTAGTGATCTGTGAAGTTTTCACCATTAAAACAATGCTTTATCATGCAAATCATACTTGTTCTCTTTGCTCTCCAGTTATGAATTTGTTACATTTTTGCATTTGACTATTTCCAGTGGTTTGTTTTTTTTTTTTTTTTACATACTCTTTGGCAATGTTAATCTGCAACCCCCTACTCCCTCAAATCTTGTTGGTAAATAATGTTAATCTTCCAATAGGAAGGAGTGGAGTACATTATCATTTTAAGCACCATTTATCCAGCCTACTTACAAATAAAGTTATGGAGCCACCTTATACATTTGAAATTCCTTAAAGACCCTGGCTTTCTATTAAAATGTACTTTTATATATACTATCTGTGAAGAATTCACTAAAGCATGAATCACCTTATAATGAGAAGCTAAAAATGTATCAAAATGAACATAAGTATAGGTAATCTATATCAAATGTACTACATCTTCCAAGTCTAGCGCATACACTGGTATAAACTGTATTACAATCCAGATTAGTTTGAAATCTTGTTTCAAAACATTGCTCAGTATTAAGTCTCAGTAGACAAACAATAGGACCACATGAGAAACTGTTCAGCAGGTGGCTGAGGAAATCTTCCAAAGGCTTAAAGTGGTCCTCCAGAGACTGTTACACTCCCTTAGGTATTTACTTCAGGGAAGGACACTATTAAGGGACACTTTTGAGTATAAAGACAGGTGAACTCACAAAGTATAGGCAGATACACGTTTGATTTTATCTTCTAATCTACAGATAATCCTTTAGAATAAAAATGTAATGAATTCATACACCTTTCATAAGGAAGAACTGAAGAAGTAGCAATAAAGTTATAAATTATAATGATCAAATGAAATAATTTAAATGAAGCTTGTCTGCGTCTGAAAGACAGAGGGACTCGGCAAGTGGTCAAAAGGAGACACAATGTGCTTTTAACTTTGTAAGAAAAATAATGTTCAGTTCTATATTGCCAAACATTCTCTTTTTGCTATATAAATCTTCCAATTATTGACCAAATGCTTTACTGAAACTCCGCTTCTGGCCTTTGTTTTGGGATCTGTTACTTTTGTTGCCACCTCCTGATCGCTGTCCTCTCGGGCCTCTACTGCCTTCCCGCTGTCCTCTGAATCTTCTGTTTCCATCCCGCTGTCCTCTGAAGCCTCGACTGCCTTCCCGTTGACCCCTGAAGCCTCCATATCCTTCCCGTGGTCCTTCCAGCTCTGGTTGCTCTGTGGCCACAGAGAGCTGCCAGCGTCGTGAATCATGCCATTTCTCCTGTGAGAGAACATTGTGTTTTCATGTGCTTTAATTACTATTCAATTTTTAAAAAGCATGAGAAAAACAAAATTTTTACATTTTTTCAAAGAAAAGGTGATAACATAAGTGCTTAACAAGTCACTGGTCAAAAATAACACTGGCCAACCATCATGGTCCAAAAGCCAGTGTCACTAAAGTGTGGGAAAATATAGTTTTATTATGAGAAATAGCCGTCATCACTACTTCATTTATTAAGTTATTAAACCATTTATTCAACTCAATTGCTACAGGGTATCTACAGCCAAAGGTAATAAAACAAATATATTAAGCACACATTTCTCACAGTACTGAATAAAGATGTAACAATTTTAAATGTCTATGAACACCTGTAGGCTGGATGTGGTGGCTCATGCCTGTAATCCCAGCACTTTGGGAGGTGAGTGGATCACCTGAGGTCAGGAGTTCGAGACCAGCCTGGCCAACATGGCGAAACTCCCATCTCTAGTAAAAGACAAAAAATTAGTCAGGGGTGATGGTGGACCTATGATCCCAGCTACTTGGGAAACTGAGGCAAGAGAATCGCTTGAACCCAGGAGGTGGAGGTTGCAGTGAACCAAGATTGCACCACTACACTCCAGCCTGGGCGACAGAGCAAGACTCTGAAAACACACACACACGTGCACACACACACACACACAAAACCTGTATAACATATGTAAGTGTTAAAGGGCAGGGAGAGCTGGGTATCGTTCACAACTTTGTATAAAGGAATCACAGAAACCAGGTGGGTTCAACTACAAAAGCTGTTCAGAATTAAAAAGCTAGGGGGGAATATTCCAAAATTTAATTATCAATTATCTCTTACGAAAGGAACCAGAACTATTGTTTCCCAATCTATTATTCTCTATTTTCATAATTAACATTCTACAATTTAGGTACATTAACTTTAAAATCTAAGAGAAAAGAATACCTGTATTTCTGTTACTGATGCGGTAGGTACATCAAAGCAAACACCCTAGAAATCAAAGTAAATGGAAGTTAATCCAACCAACGCACAATAAAAATACTCCCTTTAAAAGACCACGTATTCTGTGAAAAAAAGAAAACAAAAAACATAAAGCAAAAAAAACCACCAGGTATAATTTTAGATGAACTTTAGACCAAAGCTAATACATTACAGCTGGCAAAAGTACACTGCAGAAAGACAAGGAATACTGAAAAAAAAAAACTCCAAAAGAATTAGGACTTTCTAACTATAGACAGAGTCTTAGCTATTACACCATGCTAACCCTCTAGTGGCTATTAGCTACATTTTATTGCTGAGCAAACAGGCTTGGAAAGGTTAACTGACTAGTCTAAGGCCCCACAGCTATTAAATGGAGCAAGTATTTAAAATCTCGTCTGTATGGCTCTAAAACCTATAGTTAAACTATATACTGCCTTCCATCAGAAAAGCAATGCCAGCTATTCAGAATGACCTAACTAAAAGCGAAGAACAAGTGATCTTCTATTGTTAATTGTCTAGTTTTTCTTAATTCAGCCTTCTGTAAGAGTATGAAAAAAATAATACAGGACACCATCTTTTTTTTTCCCTCTTAAGATAGGGTCTTGCTCTACTGCCTAGGCTGGAGTACTGTGGTGCAATTAACAACTTACTGTAACTTTGGCATGCCACTACACCTGGCTTTTTTTTTTTTTTTTTTTTGGTAGAGACAGGGTGTCACTATGTTGTCCAGGCCAGTCTCAAGAATTATCTTCCCAACTCAGCTTCCCAAAATACTGAGATTACAGGTGTGAGCCATGGCACCTAGCCAGGACACCATTTTTAATATTAAGTGCCATCCTCTCCAATCAAGGAAATCATCTAAAAATATAGTCAAATTACGTGTTAACTAATACAGGCACTCCTCTCCCTGCTGTCTTCAACTGCAGTATAAGGAACACCCCTTTCACCCCAAAATTTACCCAATCACAACATAGGTATCATCACCTACTGGTGGATTTTGCCATTCATGGTAATCTTCACTTACATATTTACGAAGTAGAGTATAATCCCAGGCATTCACTGGGGATAGAGGTAACTAGAAAACAGTTTTTGCCTTTGAGTGTTCTTGAGGCTCTCCGTAAGCAAACACAGCAAGGTAAAAGTTTACCTGCATAAACATGTGTCCTAAAGACTTTGAAGTACAGATAAAGATGCCCCTAACATTGCCTGGTAAGATTTAAGGCTAAGCAAAGTCATAAAAGCTACTTTGGAGGAAACGATTTATATATATACAACATTTTTTTTTTTTTGAGACAGAATTTCACTCTTGTTGCCCAGGCTGGAGTGCAATGGCGCAATCTGGGCTCACTGCAACTTCTGCCTCCTGGGTTTTCAAGTGATTCTCCTGCCTCAGCCTTGCAAGCAGCTGGGATTACAGGCATATGCCATCATCCTTGGCTAATTTTGTATTTTTAGTAGAGACAGCATTTCTCTATGTTGGTCAGGTTGGTCTCAAACTCCGGACCTCAGGTGATCCGCCCACCTTGGCCTCCCAAAGTGCTGAGATTACAAGTGTGAGCCACCGCACCCGGCCAAAAGATTACTATAAATAGTAGGTTCAGCAGGCACTGAGGATGAGATAAACATGGCGTAGTGGGCACTGCTGGAGTAAATGGTGTTGGTAGAAATGAAGCTGTAAGGCTAGCAGAGGCCAGGACATGAAGGATCTTACCCTCCTATGAAAGGGTTGAGACTTTATCCCACAAGTTTTGTGGAGATAAACAACATGGCTAGACATGCGATAAGCTGAAGATAAACCTAATTGGTTCACTAGGCCAGTGGACACCTGGAAACCTGAAAATCTTTCAGGGGCTTCGCCAAGTCAAAATTATTTTCATAATAATGCTGCCCTTTCCACACCCATTGTCTCAAGGGTTCAGTGGAGTTTCCTAGACACTATATGACGTGATAAAATCATTGCTCTGATGGCTAATGGAAAATGATATTGTGTTTTAGAGTTCCAGTTTTAATTTCTAATACAGTAAGTATCAATAGATATAACCCATATAAACTAAAGTTTTTGGGTGTCCCTAACATTTGCTAAAGGGATTGTGAAACCAAAATGTTTGAGAATCCTTGTGATAAGTCTATGGCATTAACCAAGAGAAGTCCTCAGAAGAAAGAACACCAGGTTTAGGAGGCAAAAGTTTTCATTTTTAATTTGAATTCAAGATTCTGAATAAGTCCAGTGCTAGAATAGGATTGCGAAGAAAAAAAAGATTCTGAAAAAGTTACTTTAAATAACCTATTTAGGTGGAGATGTCAGGGAAGCAGCTGGATCCAGTCTGGCACTGTGAGGAAAATGGTACAGGCTGGAGATAGAGGTACACTAGTTGTCAGTGGCAGAGTGGCAACTGAGGATCACAGATGAGATTACCCAGGGAAGATGAGAGAGTGAAGAGATGCAGCATTCCCACAGAAGAGGAAGAACCCACACCACTTTATGCTTTCCTGCCCACATAAAGCCCCATCAAGGTTACAAGAGACCCCAGCCTTACCAGTTTTCCTTTGAGAAAAACCATTCCCTTCACTTTGGAATCAATCTCCTCGCCCAGCTGCTCTTTAAGTTCTTTCCAAGCATAACTAATATTTGGCATTTCAATTGAGCACTGCAAGATCATGGTCACAAAACCCTTACAGAAGAAAGGGGAATAAAATTAAAGTGCTGAAAATAAACCTAATTGGTAAATACCTGCTTTTGTGATTCTAAAATATTTCTTGAAAAGTTATTCCTAAAAACATATACCTCACACAAACAATTAGTACAAACAGTCTCTGGTTTTACTTGGGGAACTCTGAGTAAGACTGAATGTCAATATCTTGGTTGTGGTATTACAGTTTTCCAAAATTTTATATTTTTACAAAATACATTTGCCTTTTAGGGAAGCTGGGCAGAGTACACGAAGGATCTCTCTGTATTATTTCTTACAACTACATGTAAAGCTACAATGATCTCAATAAAAATTTGAATTTACAGGAAAAGTATACACCTTCTAAAGTTTCTAGGTATGCTGCCTAAATGTATTATATGCATTTATGCATACATATGTTTGGGCTACTTTAGGATTAAAACAATTAAAAATCACATACCACAAAATTCACCATTTAAAGTACACAATCCAGTGTTTTTTATTTTACTATATTGGTAAAATCTGCAACCATTCAGCACTATGTAAAATTTCAGCCATGTCATAATCCACCCAAAAGAATCCTGTGTCCATTACTAGCCACTGCCATTCCTCCCTCCACACAGCCACTGGGGACCACTCATATTTTCTGCCTCTATGGATTTGCATGTGTGTGTATATATGTGTACGTGTGTTTAAACACGGGAATTATTGGTTCTATTCTTTTTTGAGACAGAGTCTCACTCTGTCACCCAGGCTGGAATGCAGTGGCACCATCGTGGATCCTTGCAGCCTCAACCTCCTGGGCTCAAGTGATACTCCCTCCTCCCGTCCCAGCCTCCCAGGTAGCTGGGACCACAGCATGCCACCACACCCAGCTAATTTTTTATTTTTATTTTTTTGTAGAGACAGAGTATCACTAGGTTGCCCAGGGTGATATCAAACTTGTAGGCTCAAGCCATCCTCCCACCTGTGCCTCCCAAAGGGCTGGGATTACAGATATAAGCCACCATGTCTGGCCAGAAATTGTAAAATACAATTAATACTTTACTACCTTCATGAGAAAGTGAAAACAACTGGGAAGTTTAAATGAAACTCTTTCACATCCTGTTCATACCCCAAATTATGAAGCATCAGGAATGTGCCGCAGAACCTTACCACATTTGAGTTGATCAAGGAGCGCTGGTCTACGGACGTGGCACCTGAAATGTGGGCCAGTGCTGCTGCCAGAGCTTCCACAGCTCCCTTCTCCTCTATCAGCTTCTCAGCTGATTGCTTGAAGTGACTAATGGCAGTGGGAGGCACGGAATCCAAAAGCCTGTTGTTTGAGAGTGTGTTAGGAAAAAGGATACTAGAAGTGGACAGATTTCATTTCTAAGACATCTCAAGATAAATGAGTAACTTTGCAAATCTTTCACATGTGTAACACATTTATTTTGATGCAGTGTATAATCATCATATTTCTATAGTAGTACATCCATTCCTTTGACTGTATGCAATTCTAATTTACCACCTACCGCACCATTTTATCCTAAGGAAATAATAAAACAAGAAGTTCACCACGGTGTTACTTATGATATACAAAAAGTATAAACAATTTTAAAATGTGCATCATCTGGACTGCTTATATAAACCACAAAACAGATATAACAAAATGTTATACTACCATTAGATGTGATGATGAATAATGTCAAGAGTTTTTATACAAGAAGCATGTGTTACTTTTAGGATCAGAAAATACCTATTTCCATTCTGAAGTTGAAAAAAAAAGCTGGGTGTGGTGGCACATGCCTGTAGTCCCAACTACTTGGGAGGCTGAGGTGGGAGGATTGCTTGAGGCTACAGTGAGCTATGACTGTGCCACACATAATCATTTTAAGAAACCCCATCTCTTTAAAAAAAAAAAAGAAAATAAAAGAAATAAGAAAAAGACCTCCAAAGTCAGTTGAAAAAATGATAAGGACGTTTATGGGACTATTTGCACGTTTTTAAGGGGGTCACTATTATCTTGGCAATAATAAATGTCCCATTCAAAGTTAAAAAAGATCATCCAGTAAAAGGGTAGAAAGTGACATGCAGCAGTGTCAGGGCTGGCACTCTGGAGGCTGTTTGTTGTATACCACCAGCATCTTTGTCCCATTCCCCCTCTTCGCCATCTAACCCCAACTCTCCTTAACTGGCACCCAAGGGAACCCCGTCTGTAGGACACTTAAAAAAAAATGCCATGCTAAAATAAATTTGAAAAATGTAGTTAAAATACACTCTTCCGGGCCAGGCACGGTGGCTCACGCCTGTAATCCCAGCACCTTGGGAGGCCAAGGCAGGTGGATCACGAGGTCAGGAGATCGAGACCATCCTGGCTAACACGGTGAAACCCCGTCTCTACTAAAAATACAAAAAATTAGCCGG